CGAGTCCGAAATGCCTGCCATGTCTCCTCATCCAAAAACCGATACTGGTCACATGGGTTCTTGTTGCTCTATGCCCCATATATGTATCGACTAGTCGATCACTCTTAAAACCTCTCCAGCTGCTCCCAAGATATGAGATCCACTTTGTCCTCAACAAAGTGGTGTTGGGACATCATATGTGACCTACACAATAAAAATAACATGAAGTTCCCAAAAAGTTAAATATATATACATGTTAAATGCTCAATAAGAGTAGGTACCAGGATACTCGCCAAATTTGCTTCTTCAAGTGTCTCCGGAACATGGTCCCAATCCTCAATAAGAATACTAACCTTGTTTCTCCCAAGCAAGGCCACATAGCTAGTGAATCTAGCATTGTGCTCTCCCGTGGCTCTACCCGTTTGCATGTCAAACTCGGATAGGCAATTTCTGATCGGAGCTACGACTGATATTCAAATCCCTCAACCAGTGTAGCACGCCTACCATTTTTCCCGGTAGACGATCGACTCGATCACCACCTGGTGTAGGAGGGGGGACTCGTGTAGGAGGAGGGGTACCGGATGAATCTGTCATATCCGTGTTCAAAGAAAAAAATAATAGTTATTAGTTTAGACAATATGACTCGAAGATAAACAAAAAAGTGCATACATTAAAAAATAATACATTAAAAAAAGTGCATACATTATCAAGTTGGAACATTCTCCCAAAATCCTTCCTTATGGTCATAACGTGTGGCATGCACATCATCTATTTCTACATTAACACTCAAGTTTGGCATATTTGAAGAGAAACATGGTGTCTCCGGTATATCAAGTACTAATTCATCATTCTCATGAGAAGTATACATGGGTTTTCCTTGTAGAACCACTGACCATCCTTTGTTAGCGGGATCAGTGACATAAAACACTTGTTTTGCCTGAGATGTCATGATAAATGGTTCTTCGGTATAACGAGTATTTTCAAGGTTAACCAATGTAAATCCAAGATCGTCGGTGAAGATGTCAATATTAAAATCAACCCACTTACATTTAAAAATAGGTACTCTGAATATCGTGTAATCTATTACCCAAATCTCTTCAATTACACCAAAGTAGCCCATTGACGCCCTTATCGAATATTTATCCTTTGAACTCGAGAAATGCATTGATTCAGCCACCACCATGACTCCACTATTTTGCATTGTGCTTATTTCATCTTCCCCCTTTGTATAAAATGAATAGTTATTTATATCATACTCACCCCAACATATCACATCAAAGTTTGGCTCACATGCTAGCCACTTTAGTGTATCAAAAGCTGTATTGTCACCTTCAACTTGTTGTTTAAACCACTTCAAAAAGCTCTTGTTGTGTTCAGTGATCACCCACTTTTTAGGCAATACGTGGATTATTTCGCTTCACAATGTCTTTATGAGCACTTAAGTAGGGGATGACTTCTTCATTGTTATTCAATATGTACAAATGCACTTGAAGTACTTCATCTCGACACATTGTCACAACTTTTGCACCTCGAGTTCCTCTACCAAGACCTATTCCATGGTAACGAGTCTTAGGTAACCCTATAGCTTCAACTTCTGATAAGTATTTTGTGCAAAACTCAATAGTTTCATCTGCAATATATCTTTGAACAATTGATGCTTCAGGACGATATTGGTTCTTCACATACCCTTTTAATATCTTCATGTATCGCTCAATAGGGTACATCCATCGTAAGAAAACTGGACCACATATTCTAACTTCCCTGGCTAGATGAACAATCAAGTGAACCATAATATCAAAATATGATGGAGGAAAGTACATCTCAAATTGACACAATATGACTGCAGCCTCATTCTCTAACTGATCCAAAACATCCGGGTCCATAACTTTACTACATATGGCATTAAAAAAAAACATAATCGAGTTAAGGAATATCTAACATTCTCTGGTAAGATACCTCGAATAGCCACAGGTAAAAGTTGTTGCATCAATACATGACAATCATGAGATTTTAACCCAAGCAATTTTAGATCTTTCATAGATACAAGTCTCTTCACATTGGAAGAGTAACCAAATGGAACCTTCACACCTCGTAAAAACTCACAAAAACTTCTTTTCTCTTTTTTAGACAGTGTGTGACATGTTGGAGGCAAGTATGTTCGGTTACCATGAGGTTGAGGAGCTAATTGTTCTCTTATACCCATTTCAACCATGTCCAAACGAGCATTGACACCATCTTTTGTTTTTCCTTGAATGTTAAGGAGCGTTCCGATGATACTGTCACACACATTTTTCTCTACGTGCATGACATCTATACAATGTCTCACATCAAGAACCCTCCAATATGGAAGAACAAAAAGGATTGACATTTTCTTCCATATACCTGTGGCTTTCTTTTGCGTCTTTCCAAACTCAAACGAAATCGCACTTGCTCGTTGATATACTTCTTCCCCATTTAAAGGTGTTGGGGCTGCATCATTTTTTTGACACCCGTTAAATGATTTTTTTAATTTATGATACGAATGGTTTGAAGGAAGAAATCTTCGGTGTCCAAGGTACACTGTTTTCCTTCCATGTTGTAGTTGATAGTGACATGTGTCTTCTTCACATATCGGGCAAGCTTTATGTCCATTTGTACTGTAGCCACTCAAATTACCATATGCTTGAAAGTCATTAATTGTACAAAATAACATTGCACGCAACTTGAATAAGTCACCTGTGTACCCATCAAACACATCAACACCTTCCTCCCACAACATCTTCAACTCTTCAACCAATGGGCTTAAAAAAACATCAATGTCATTTCCAGGTTGTCTGGGACCCGAGATCATCAAATATAGCATCAAGTACTTACGTTTCATACACAACCACTGGAGGTAAGTTGTAAATAACTAACACCACAGGCCATGAACTATGTTTATCGCTTAAATTTCCATATGGATTCATTCCATCTCGTAGCAAGTCCAAACCTAATGTTTCTTGGATCATTACCGAAATTCCGGAAGATGGAATCAATTTTTTTCCATTGCAATCCATCTGCCAGATACCTCAACTGACCATCTTTAATACGACTATCTGCATGTCATCTAGTGAGTTTTGCATCATTTCCATTAGTGAATAATCGTTTCAACCTTGGAACAATGGGAAGATACCATAACATTTTTGTCGGGGTACCCTTCATTACATCATTATCAGAATCATCATCCTTCTTCTTGTATCGTGATTCCCCGCATTGTGGACATTCGTGAAAGTTCTCAAATTCTTTCCTGTACAACACACAATCATTCGGACATGCATGAATTTTTTGGTACTCCATACCCATTGGACACAATATCTTCTTAGCATCATAATTGCGGGTTGACAATGTGTTACCTTCAGGGAGCATGTCACTCAACAACTCAAGCAATTATGTGAAACTTTTATCAGTCCACCCATTCTTTGTCTTCACATTGAACAATTTTAGTACCGCCGACAATCGTGTGAACTTAGTACAATTTGTATACAAAGGCTTTTTTGCATCATTGGACAACTTCTCGTACACATGTGTATGTTGGAAGGCATCTTGTCCAAGCTCACGAATCATTTCCTCCAGCTGATCATCCATCTCTAGATCAACTTCTTCTTTGTCTTCTACACTTGTCATGTTTAATAATTCACCATGTCATGTCCACTTTATGTAACTCTTTAGGAAACCATCACAAAGAACATGTTCCTGAATAACTTCAGTCGGTAATCTTCGCTCATTCAAGCAGTTAACACACGGGCAATAGAATCTTCCATCATTATCCGGAACATTCATCTTAGCAAATTCAAGGAATTGTTCTACTCCACTCTCATATTCATTTGTTGTTCGTCTATAATTGATCCAACTCCGATCCATTGTTACCTTCTGTCACATAACACAACATATAAGTATAGTTTGAGGATGATAACATCCAACATGTTTTGCTGAAATTGCGATGTCACGTGATTGGATATTTTAATCTTTCAATAGGAAGTTATGTCCTACAATGGATCATTTCATGACTGACTCCAATCAAGGCTAACCATATTGTCTCACATTAGGGTGAGCATAAGCGATGATAGTTTTCACTTAAAATGAAAAACTACATTATAATACAAATCTAATTTTCAAAATCAAAATCACGAAAGAATGCCTACAGAAACACATTCAAATGACTAAACTACTTACAATATGTCTCTAAATTAGCTAAAGGCACCCGTGATCTTTCCATCTCTTGACAGCATTATTACATACTAGATTCAAAACTATAAACCTACAATGGCTAAAGCAAGCACGAAAACTTACCTCTTGAAGACCTACAGAAGTGGCAGGTGGCGTGACGTGCAGAGCTGGGTGGGGAGAAACGTACACAGGTGATGACGTTCGTAGAAGAGACAGAGAGAACGGGGAGTTCTGCTATGGGTGAAGTGATGAAATGGAGCGTCGCGACAGGCGTAAAACAGAAGATACTATGTCGGTTGCCCTAACACTCGTCATCAAATACACTTTCTATGTCGGGTAAATTTTAACCGACATGTCGGGTAAATTTTAACTGACATAGATGTCGGTTAAATTTTACCCGACATAGAAAGTGAACTTTCCACTTACCATGTCGGTTACCTATTACCCAACATAAAAAGTTTATGATTTTATTACAAAATTGCCGCTGCGCTACATACTATGACTGGTGGACTAAGACCATGATAAAAACTCGTCATAGAATGCTATTTTTCCACTAGTGATTTGTGTTAAAGATCAAATTTTTATGTAGAGATATTATTTATTTTAAATTTTTTATCAATAATTTTATTTTTAAAGGACATTTTAATAGATTAAGAAAAAAAGATATATATATATATATATATATATATATATATATATATATATATATAATTATAAAATGTAGAATTGGTGAATTTAACGAATAACTAATATTTTTTTTAACATAAGAAATATTCTAAGCCCTGGTAACGAAAACTAGAATCTGAAGTGATAAGATAAATGAGTTGCAGTAATCCATGAAACCTCCTTCCCATTACATATTTTCTCTGCGGTTGATTGATTCTGTTGTGTTAAAAGTTGTGTTTGTGAGTGAAGATGGTAATAATAATAGTGAGACATAATTGCAGAGGACAGAAAAACAGTAGTTAGGAAATGATAGAGAGAGTGTGATGATATTAGTGGTAATGATGGTATAGTAGTAGCATTGATTCTGGGTTGTATTGAGGCAGAGCACTGCAGAGACAGGGTCGTAGTACGAAGGATTTTAGATGGGTGTCTGGTCGTGTGGGCCTCACAGTTACAGTTTCACACAACACAAATCTCCCCCGTGCATTCCGCGAGATGCTGCTCCTTTCCGTCCTCTAATCTAACGTCCCTCTTAATCCAAACTAATATAAAAAAAAAAAGATTCAATTTTTTAACCTTTTCATAATTTTAGTTATTTAAATAATTTCTATCTCGTTTTAAAAGGTGGGTATAATGATGTTGATGTAAGATGGAATAATGTTCTTATAAGATTTAAAAAAAATGGTTAGAAATAAAAAGATCGAGGGGTTTGTTTGTTTGTTTGTTTGAGGGAAGGAAAGTGAAAAAGAGATGGTGGTGATTGATTGATTGAATGTGTGAGAGTTTGATTGATTTTAAGATTGAGTGGGTGAATGAGGAGCAGCATAATAGAAAAGGTGAAAGAAAAGAAAAGGTGAGGTGTGAAAATGAAAAAAGGAGATGGGAGTGAGTTGATTCATATTCATATTATTGAATAAAGTGTAGAGTTGAAAGGAAAGGAAAACACAGTGGGAAGCAATGATGTTGAAAAGACCAATGACCCGTGACTAGTGTGACTTGTGTAGGTCCTTTGTTCATAGAGAGGCACACAACATATTCTACACACTCTTCCCTTCAGGACCTGTGACTTGTGTCACTTTAGGACCTAAACCCAAACACTCATGTCCTCTCAAGCCCAACTCTACCACCACCACCATTTTTTATATAATATTTCCACCTCTAATTTTTTTTCCCTTCTATATAATTCATGTTTGCATTAAAAACATATTTTCAACTATTTTATTTGTATTGTGATTAAAATTTGAGTTTTATTTATCTACATGTATTGTCAAATATTATTTTATATTATAGTAATTTATCTTAAAAATAAATTTTTAGTCTTTAAAAATAAACTAATTATTATTATTATTATTATTATTATTATTATTTATATATATTTTTGGGAACAGTGTCTTCAAAAATAAATTAATTTTTATGTTGTAAATTTTACGTCATTTAAAAATTAAAGATAAAAAAATTATATAAATATTTTTCTCTGAAATATTTTTTAAAAATAAATTCGTAATAAACAAAAATTTAATTTAAAATATGAAAATGAATTTTAACAATATTATCATAATTAAAATAAGTTTAAAATATAATATTAATTATTAGTTTATCAGTATTTTTTATTAAATAATCATTCAATCAAACATAAATGGTTCAATTTAAATTTAATATAAAACTCAAATTAGATCAAACTAATATTTGTAATTAGTTTGGATGGGCATTTTTTGTTTTTCTAAATTTTTAAATGTTATCATACAAAATTCTTAATATATATATATATATATATATATATATATATATATATATATATTAAAGAAATTATGTTATTTTATTATTATTAACTTCATAATTTTAACTTTTTAATATTTAAAAATAAATTAGACAATCTTATAATTAAAAATTATAATCTATAACTACTATGAATATAATTATTATTTGATAATTAATTATAAATATTTAATATTACATTTAAATATAATAAGCTATTTAATTTGGTTTGTTTAATTCTTAATTTATAATTTAAAATTGGAATCAAAATTAAATAGATTAAAAAATCCAAAAAAGTTGTCCATTTTAATCAATTTTGTGTGTTTTTATCAATTTTATATTTATTTTAAATTGGTTTGATTCCTAAGTATATTTAATTTTTTTAGTCAATTATATTTTTATCTCATATTTCGGAAATAATATTTTTTAATGTCTCTCAGCATTTTTTATTGGTATCAGTCCTCGTTTGTCACAATTTTTTACTAGCCTTAATTTATCAATTATGTGTAACATAAGTTCTAGTGACAGTATTAAAACAATACATTTTTTTACCTAAGCTATTAATATACTAGATCACTAAATAATTTTATATTTTTAAATATATTATATCATTATAATTTACTTACATATTTCTTAAAAATATTATTTATCTTAACTGAATATGTTATTGCAAATAAATAAAACAATAAATATTAATAGATGATAATTACAATAAACCTCTAATGTACAAAAATATTATTTATTGAATTTTATTTACGCTACTTGTTCGTTTTTTATCATTTTCACAAACTTAACCCTACTCATTATTTATGAATAAAGACTAAAATATGTATATATGTACATATATATATATATATATATATATATATATATATATATATATATATATATATATATATATGATAAAGTTTAAATGATCTTCAAAATTTAATATGTAATAAAAACTGAATAATCTCAAATTCAAAATGGCATTCAGATTTGATTATTGTGCAACTTGCGCTATGTTTTAATTAAATTGCTAGAATTAGTTCATTGGGAATGTATCGTTTAATGAATTGTTTAGGTTTTATGAGTTTTATAATGACACATATAATAATTATTCAATGAAATTCAAGCAAGTACTATTACCGTGGGAATTTTTTTTTAATTGCTTAAATAATTTAATTATCATTTTATTTTCATATTAAGTGAAAAATAGAAGAATAAAATTAATGTAGAAAAATAATTTTAATTATATAAAGCTTTTGTTTCTAAGATAAAGATAAAAAAAAAATATATTATCTAATTTTCTAAATCTTCGATTGTAAAAGATAAAGATTTGGGTTTCAGAAACAGTTAGCCCACTATCGTTAGCCAATAAATAGTTCATGCGCAGGCCCATGCGCAGGCCCATACTCAATAATCGTCACTTCCCACTTCGTCTGTGTTGCTGTGTAATAAGTACAATACAGTGTTCTTGCTGCTTCCTCTGGTGGGTCGCGTAAAGGGTTCTTCATCACCACAGGATGGTATAGTCTTTCTCACGGCGTCGTTTTACCGTTTTTTATATTCTTCTAACTTCGTATTTATTTATTTATTTTCTTTTTTCACAGTATGTTTTCTTTGTCAAATTTTAACAGGATTTCCAGGGATTCCTTAACGATTTGCAGGATTGGGAACTTTCTAGAAAGGATAAATCACAAACAATGAAGTCACAAAAGGAAAATGTTGGTAATTTTATCCTAATCTTCAAAGTTTTCTTTCATCGTCCAACTGCGAACGTTTGAGTATACTTCTACAGGCATTATGATTGTTCAATTCGGGCTCTATATAATTCGAAGTTTATTTCTCCTTTATTGTTGTTTTTGTTGCTGTGGATGGATGTGAATGTATATGTAGCGTGAAGAACCAAGACTCTTTTACCTTGTTTGACTACTTTGTTCACTTTTCGAATGGTCGAATTTAGTGACACTGTTTTTGTGATGTGTGGGACTTTCTTCTTTGTATAAGGAGGTTAGTTAACGGGTTTATATATTTTTTTACATATATTGTACAAAAGGAATGTGAACTCTGAATATGCTGTCTGAAAGCAATAGACATTTATAAACGAAAATAATTAATTTTATAGAGCTAGAACATTGGGTTCATTTAACTAGCCGGAAATTTGCAATGTTTATTCAAATGAATCTAGAATTTTATGGTGTATTATCAATTTGTGGAATGTTGGAAGCGTAAGTTCTACCCTAGGTTCTTCTCTTAATTTTCCATGCTTCCTTGTACGCGTTACGGCGAGGAAAGGACCCCTTGATTTTGCATATGTTGCATATCCTACATATGTTTGTTCTTGTTTATGTATGGATGAATTAATGCATTTGTGATGCGTGATATTCTGACAGCAATTTGCAAAAGCTTCGTCTTCTCGACTTACTGGATCCATGGGTATGGAGAAGGCATCAAAAGCAGATACTAATTCTTTTGATCGTGCGAGAAATTCTCCAGGATTGTATGATTTATCAAAATTTAATGATCCTTTCAATCGTTTACAAAATAGTTTTGTTCCTGAAGACGTTCCTGATGCTGCTTCCGAGAAAGACCTGGTAGGTTTTTTTGCTTCCCTCTGATTTGGTCTCGGGATGACAGGGTAGGGATTTATCTGTTAAGATATTATATATTGAGTTTAGTGTTTCTGTCCTGCATGATGCTGATTATTGATTCTCTCTATATCCTACAGGGGAATGAGTTTTTCAAGCAGAAGAAATTTAAGGAAGCTACAGACTGCTATTCAAGGAGCATTGCCTTATCACCAACAGCTGTAGCATATGCAAATAGAGCAATGGCCAATATCAAGCTCAGAAGGCAAGCTTACGTCTTGTATTTAAAAAAATTCTGACTTACTCATCAAAATATCACAAAGTGTAGGATTTTATCAGTAGGGGGCTTTTCAGTAAAAGAAAATTAATTTCCATTTATTCTGAATTGTTATAGAGTCTATCAACTGACTGATTCTCTTAAAGTAACTTCATTTTCTGAAGATATGTTTTTTTCCTCACCTATTTTTGTGTCAGTAGATTCCAAGAAGCTGAGGATGACTGCACAGAGGCCTTAAATCTTGATGATCGTTACATAAAAGCATACTCACGAAGAGCAACAGCTAGAAAAGAACTTGGAAAAATTAAAGAATCAATGGAGGGTGTGTTAATACATGATCAATATACTTGTCCATTAACCACATGTGTAAACATTCTTATTTTAAATTTGTTGACTCTCTTTGCTTAAACTGCAGATGCTGAATTTGCCTTGAGGTTGGAACCAAACAATCAAGAAATAAAAAAACAGTATGCTGATGCTAAATCTTTGTATGAGAAAGTAAGCACATCGACATTTCCATTATTGTTATATGACTTACTATTTTTCATGAACATATGTGAAGGAGTGCCTATATAGGTTTGAATGGAATGGAATGGAAATATCAATTTTGAACTTAGGTACATAACCAATAATAACCAGTTTTCATACTTGCACTTACAGCAAACAAGAAAGTATATTTAATAGGAGTTCACCTAGCACAAGATCAAATTAATTAATGCCTTGAAGTAAGGTTTTAAAACGGTAGGGCCTTTGATTTATTGAAAAATCAAGACAGTAAAAGGAGTTATGATGTTAGCAAGACTTTAGAGATGGGTTTGAGGGGATACTGTACTTCACAGTAGTGATTTGTGAATGTAGATTCAAAGTTTGAAATCGTTAAGAATGTAGAGGACAAGTGTTCTTGAAGAGAAAATATTGCTGTTTGAAAATCTAAGAGTAGTTATAATATAACTGTCATTACTAACAGTAATCATTGATGGAAAATGGTAAGGTTCGAATTCTGCTGTTTGTGTGCGTATATTATGGCCAGTTCATGTGTTCAGTACCGGACATTTGGTTAATAATGATAGACTTGCATATTCAAACACATGATGGTAGAGAGGGAAAGTTATTTATAGAAAGAGAGTATAGATCAGAGGCTAGGACTTGCAACACTTCCATTTATTTACTATTTTAGTTGTGTCTACTTTTCCCCATGGGTTCTCTGCTGCATAGATTAATGTTTTTCTTTCTTTTCTTAAGTCTCTTTTGTGATGGACATTTTTCAGAAAGCATCAGGAGCTCTGAGAAGCACTGTACATGGAACTCAAAAAGTGGGAAAGTCAGAGGAAAAAGTAAACGGAGGCATCTACCCCATTTCACATGGTACTCAAAAGTCCATGCCATCTGAAGTTAATCATAGAAAGGTACAAAGAAGTAGAGCTTTCAATATCGCATTAAGGATGATAGTGTTGAATAGTACTTTGTTTGCGCTTTTCATGTAAGTGTAGTCCCCCCTAACGTTTGGCTATGTTTTTGACAGGTTGCTGAGCAGCAAATACCTGTCAAAGAATCACTTGTAACAGAGGAGGTTGATAGCAGAGATACAATAACCAGAAGCAGGCCTCAAGCACAAGAAGGTGATGGTTCTAAGAAAGGTTTGAGTGCAAGCAACAGTTTGGAGCAGGTTAAATATACTCAAATCCTCCCTTCTTCTTGTCTAGTAATCTATTTCCAGTGCATATTCCAGTACTGTTAGAAGCAATAATTATTTTTCTTATCCTTAAAAACTAAGAAATTGTTTAATGTTCTTCATGAGTTCTTATATAAATATGAGTTATCCACATTCTATTATGTTGGAGCTTTGTTAAAAACACCAGTTTGTATTTTGGCTACTTTATTTTTATCCTCAGTAAGTAATATAAATAAAATAACGTTTGGGGATTTTAGGATTTTTAATGATGTATCCAAGCATTGGATACTTTCAATTGCTATTTTGGTCTTACCTCTACGATTTTTTTGCCAGTATATTCACATTTTTTTATTGTACTTCAATTTTGATGTTAGTAATTGTGCATAACTGCATATTCCTATTTGTATTCCCATTTTTTATGATTTTGTTGCCTTGTTTTTTTCTGAACAGAGAAATCACAGAATTAATAAGCAGGAAATGAAAGCATCTGTTCAACAGCTTGCTTCTCGAGCTGCTTCTAGAGCCATGGCTGAAGCTGCCAAAAACATAACACCACCAACCACTGCATATCAGTTTGAGGTCTCCTGGAGAGCATTTTCAGGTGATCTTGCTCTGCAGGCTCGTCTATTAAAGGTTTACAACTTTTTATGGTTCATTTTTAATTTGATTAATATTGTCAATTTCTAGCATATTTGGCTTTGAATGATGGCCAGAGGGGCCATTTTATACTTAAATTTATTTTGGTCAGTGCTCTATTTCATGTTGTAATAAACTTTTCTTCTCTTTTTGTATGTTAGGCAATATCTCCCCATGAATTACCAAAAATATTCAAAAATGCCTTATCTTCTACCCTACTGGTTGACATCATCAAGTGTCTTTCATCTTTTTTCACGTAAGTAGTTTTATCTACAAAAAGTATTATTTTATTGGTTTAACTTCTGTTTGAGCTTTGATTATGATAGTGAATTTGCTGTTTTGGCAGTGAGGACATGGATCTAGTTATCAGTTATATGGAGCATTTGATCAAAGTACCAAGATTTGACATGATTGTTTTGTGCCTTTCATCAAAAAATAAGGATGGTACGTGTTCTTCGTAATAGTAAAATTATAAGTGTTTCTGTTGTCACACCATCTGAAATCTATTGAAAGTTTTAAGCTTAACAAGTAAAGGTAGAAGCAAGTGGAAAACTAAGTAGGTAGGCGGAGTGTCTTGCTACAAAATATGTAATGCCTTTTCAGCAGGAAAAAGTAAAGGTTTACCCAGCATTTTGGTTACTACCTCTGCATGTGGATTGTATATAGCCACTCTATTGTTTTCATCTTCTAAAATCCGGTAACTTTAATCAGACAACTTATGATGGTTTGTAAGGATAAAATAAGCCATATGTAGTTGTGGATGACTATTCTTAGCTTGATATCAAAGTTTTAATGTAAAAGCAGCTATATATATTCTTGTACTATAGTCGATCCTTTTAACCTCTGGTTTCCCCCCTACACCAAGAAAATGAAGATAAAATAAACGGAAGAAAGTAATTAAGGTTTCCGGCTGTAACTAACCCTAATATATCATGGAAGTTTTTTAAATTAAAAATGTCCTTTTTCATAGTAGTAGAGAAGTGCTAACTAAATTATCTCATTCAAACCCCATCACCCTTGTATAATACCGAGTGCATCATTTGACATTTTTTTTCGTACAGTTTCTGCGTTATGCTATTTAAAAATGATTGTGCTTATTGTTATGAATCAGAGTTTCATTTACCACTTTAAACTTCCTTATTTCTTCAATGTGGGGCAAATCATTTACCTTTTGGTGAATGGTGAATTTTGTTATGTGAACTGCAAATATGCTACTACTTTTCTTTTGTTAGTGTCAAGAAGACATAGATGAAGTTTCTAAAAGCTTCTTATTGCTTGGGAAGATGACCAACAAGTCTTCGTTTGATTTGAGAATTTGATGACGAGGATTGAACATAATATATCTTGTTGGTTGTTGAGTTGCTTATACTTGCTATTTTAAACTAATGGTTATTGTTGCCAAGTTTGTCAATATGATTAAGTTGGATACATTTTGTGCAGACATACGCAAGATCTGGGATGATGTCTTCAGAAGTGAGGCAACACCAATTGAGTATGCAGAGATTCTGGACAACCTCAGATCACAGTTCTGCCTTGGACAATGACATCTTCACTTTTATGTTGTAATGTTGTTTTCCTCGGTGGATCCTGTCCCTTCCACAACCATTTTCACTTGTAAATTATTATGCTATTGAAATGTGTGAGCATTATTGACGCTTCGGCTTGATCCATCTTTAAAAAGTGGGAGGAAAAAAAAACAAAAAAGAGAATGTGTAGTGCTCGAGGCTGAAGGTCTACGTATAACTATTTTTTTCCCTTTAGAATTGAAGTCTTCTAAAATGAGAAAACGCAAAGGATGTAATTATAGTCTATAACAAAGCAACCGGTTCACATTTTACATTATAATTTTGAATGTGTTGCTTATTTTTATCAGTTACAATTGCTTATTTTATTCTTAAAGGTGAGTTGCTTTAGAATAGCCTACGTTTACTTGGTGTGAAACCAAACTATTTAACGTGTTCGAGATAAACGTGAAAATTAAATTATTTTAATCATTTATTTGATTAGATTTTATTATAATTAGAATATATTTTTGCTTGGTTGAGTTTGTTAAAGAGTGATTATATGATGAGATAATAAATTTCACTTTGATACATCAAAATCAGTTATTCTGTAAGAAAAAAATATCTGCGTTAAAAGTAAAAAAGACTTAAAAAAACTTGTTATAAATATTTTTAACCTAAAAAAATAAAAGAAAATAAAATAACTTTTCTAAACATGTTCTTAATTTTATGTTGGGTCTATACAAGAATGTACGTTGTGTTTGTTGGGCGGGACAGAACGTCGGATGGCGTGGCGTCGGTCCAAAATTCTGATATATATAATTTTAAAAATTAAATAAAATAATTCTATACATATCAAAAAATAATTATTATATTTTTCTTTTAAAAAAATATTAACTATAATAAATTTTATTTTTTACAACATTTTTACTTATGTTTTTTTTTCTCTCTGTCTTTATTTTCATAATTTTTTTCCTCCACTTCTTTACTTCTTTCAACTTCAAATATTCATTTTGTTTTTTTATATTTATATTTTTTATTTATTACTTTTCCACTTTCAAAATTTATCACATTATAGCATAAAAATTATAAGATTTTCTTTTTATTTTTTACATTCTTAAGTAACATTTGTTATTATGTTTTTCACTATTATAACATATAACATGTATATTAATTGCTATTAATTAATTGTTTTAATATTTGATGATGCTTAATTTTGATATTAAAAAAAATATTTATAATTTTATCTTTTTACGTTGTATATCCTTTCATTTTTTATATTTATCATTTATTAACGATGAATATCCATTATATATATATAATCTGGCTCTAGTCTAAAATTTCTGGCATTGTTGTTTGTTATGTTAAAATTTGGCGTACTGGAAGTAGCTTGGCAAATATATGTGAAATGAAGTGGACTCCACATGTCAAAATTTTCAAACAAAACTGAATACAAAAGAAGAGGAAATAATACTGAGTTGAAGTTGGCGATGGAATCACCTATGTTGCTTTTACATGTGTTATGCTACTATTTTAACCCTTTGTTTAGATTAGACAAGCATTTTAGGCAGAGGAAAAGGATATTTTTGAAGGAAACAAATTAGCTTTTTATTTGGATTAAAGGAAAGAAGTGTTACGAAATGCCAGGAAAAAATTATAAAGATTGGTGAGTAATTTGATTAATATAAATGATAAAAAAATTAATAAAAGAAATGTGAAGATTATCTTATTATTTTTTTATAAAAGTTATTATTATTATTATTATTTAAAATATATAATTATTTTAATTGTTATTATTATTATTAAAATAATTTTTACTTCTGAATAATATATATATATATATATAATATTATATGATTAACTATTTTTTAAAATAATAATAATACATATATTTTTTTAAATATAATTATTGTGGGGTTATAATTAATTATTGTTCTTGCTTTTTATATATGAATTTTGATATTTTTAGATACGGACATAGTGTTAGGTTCTAATTTTTCTTTTCATTTTTCAGACATGTAGATTTCTTGTTTAATTAAAATTCACTGAAAAGCTAACTAGATAAGTGATATGATTCATATTATATATTAGACGTAATTTATAATCTATTATAAAATGTTAAAATATTATTTTTACAGAATATATATTTTAAATATATCCTTCCACATTAATTTTTTAATGTATTTAAATTAACAAAAGGTTGTTATTATATTCCATTACCTTTATAACGATGAAAAATACTGTCATTATATTCAAACATTAATTTTAATAAAAAATATATAATAATTAATAAATAATCAAAATCTTTTTTTCCTGTCAATAAATCTTTATTTTACTCTATTTTTTCCTCATATAAAATAGAAGTGAAATTTGTATAAAAAATCTCGTAAATTTAAAATAAAATAATAATTTAGGTACGTATGTTAAATAATTGGATAAGAAGCGAGTAGAGCTAAAGGCACATGCAGGTGAGGATTCATAGGAATTTATTATAACAATTTGGAATCTTTGCAATGATTTTCTCTGTAGGAAAAGGTTTTTGTTGTGTCATCCACTATAATAAGATGCTTAGTTCACGTGAAAAATAGAGAGGAGCAACGTTATCTCTACTCTATCAAAGGATAAAAGGATAACTTTTGTAAATGTATAAGTTTTTGTTTGGATGAACGAATGAATTTGAAAGAATGAAAAAGGAAAAAAAAAAAAGTAAGTTTTGGACTGAGAGATAAAAAAAATAGAGAGTGGAAAAAAAATGATGGAAATGTTTATAATTTATTTGTTTGTTTTGAAATAAATAAAACAAAACCAAAATAATAAAATAATTTATTAAATTACTAAAATATCCTTACTTAAAATTTAATAAAAATAAATATAAATTAAAGATACAAATAATTAATTTTAAAGTAATTAATTTTAAAAAAATTAAAAATTAAATTGAAATTATTAATTAAAAATTATGTATACAATTTTATTTTAAGTACTAATTATAAAAATTTAAATATAATAAAAGAATTCATAATAAAAAATAAAATCAATAACGTTATTAAAAAATTTAATTTATATTTAAAATAATTTTTTGTTATTATAATAAAAATTATAAAATCATGTATAATTATAACTACATGTATTATCAATATTAATTCATATATAATAAATATAATAATATTTTTAATATTTATACAAATTTATTTATTAGCGTTTTTCAAAATTTTATGATCCAAATATTTTATTTATAATGTAATTTAATCATAATAAAAATATAATTGACTCATTGATGATATATATATATATATATATATATATATATATATATATATATAATTAACATACGTTTATATTAAAAATAAAAAAATTAATATAAGTCAAAATGAATATAAATAATTAAAAATAATATATAAAATAAAAAAATTAAAATTTATGCATTAATAAATATATATAATAAAATAGATATACATTACTAAATAGAAAAAAAAGTGAAATATTATAAATTGTGGGTAAAAAATTATGAAATAAAATAATAAATATTAGAGAGATAAAATAATTAAATTCCATAATCTTTTCTCTTAAATCAAACAAACACGAAAGAAAGGTGTTAGTGAGAAATCTATAAAAGGATCGAGAAAGTGAAGGGAAACAAAAACATATCGAGAATTGGAATCGAAAATCGAGGGAACAACGCTTAACATCAGTTGGTGAAGAAAATCAAGAAAACAAAATCCGGTAACGTTAAGGATATCGAGAATCAAAAGCAAATCCAAAATTCTTGAAGTCGCGAAATCTAAATCGAAGGAAAGGCTAATATACGTGAATATCGAAATTTTGGCTAAGAAGAATGGTCGACGTATACATCGAACATAATAAGCAGTAGCAAAAGTCGAAGGTCAAGGGAGCGGTTACCTCATTCATGGGAACGTGGATACAGCTTCTAAACCGCAGAGCTAGGAATAAAACTGCAAAAGACGTGCACAGAGAACGTGGTAGTAGTCTTCGTTAACTGCTCTTAAGAGACTACTTGAAAAGACACTATAAATAGAGCAAATGATGAAAGGAAAAGGGAGCAGAAATTGGCAGAGAACAGAATCATTAGTGAGAAGTCTACCGGAGAAACGACGAACATCATGAAGCTTCTGGCAATCTGGATTTCCATGCTCATTGAGTACCTTTACCGTTTTCTGTATTTTCCTTGGTAATTTACTTTGATGCAATTTATCTTCAGCAATTTTATGTTTCTGTACTTTCGATTTTTAGTTATTTCGATTCAATGAAAGTTAAGTTTCCGCGTTTAAGTTTCCTTGTCATTTACATTTCCTGCAAATTCGATTTCCTATTATTTACATTTCTGCTGTTTCGATTCCTTGTCTTTTATACTTAAAGCGAATTTAAGGTCTCCGCATGTTACGTTTCTTTGCAATTTAATGTTCAGCACTGCTTTTCGATTCCATTAATTTTCTGCTTTCTTTACTTCGAGCACTTTAAATATAACATATCAAAAATAGCATCTTTGAAATCAGGTAAAATTCGATCCTCATACGCATCTCGATTGAAAATTAATTTGCTAGCCTAAGTAAAAAAAAAGAACTTACGTGGTAGAATTTTGATTAGGATCAAAATATCTTAAGAGTCAAAATCGATCGAAATTCCACCAGAAACAAATTGGCGCGTCAGGTAGGGGAGGCCTTGTGTTAAAAACACAAAACTGGTTAGTTCGAGAGTGTATGAGATTAAGGAGTGGGAGAGTTATAAGAATGAGTCAAAATTCATCAAATAACCAGAGTAACAGTGAGGGTCTAAATGGTGTGCATCCACCAAATACTGGGAGGCAAAGTCATAATGGGAATATACCTGTAACATCGACAACTGCGAGTATGTCGACACCTGTGGGTAACGAACAAAATTCAGGTACCTTAACAAACACCCAAGTAGGATCTAATGCGGTGGTATCAAATAATATGCAAACTATAGGAAACCCAACAACCACATATGTAGGGCCATATATGATTGTAAGACCGCCTGGATTTTCGCTTAATAATATGAGTGGGGCT